CCCAAGATTTTGCTTAAATGAGTGTCAATTATCCATTTCTTTCAGTCTAATCATATTTTCAGGTGCATTTCTTTCTATGACACTTCATTGTTACCATGTTTTTACCTGGTTGACGTTTTACTTGTAGACAAACGTAGTTTGATTGTGTATCTCTGATTATAAACTTTTATATCATTTTTCTGATGACTGATTCTCTTTCCTTCAGTCTGCCTGCCTGAGGACTGGCATTGAAGGAGAAAAATTTCTTCTTCTTGTTCTTCAATGTCATTCCATGATTTAATAACCTCGCCCACGTTTCACTTCATCACAACAGTACTCTCTTATTGCTTCCCCTCACGTTTTTTCCCGTCCCCTTCTTCCCATTCATCCTGCCACTCAACATTTCATTTCCTACACTCCCATTTTTTTCTTCAAAGTCGGCTGTATTTTGTACAACTTCCCTAAACACGCGTAAAAGTCTGCGCTCGGCAGAGACCCCATTTCCCGGGATAAGACGTAAACTTGAGAGGGGGAGGCAGCGGGACGTGAGGCAGAGCGGGAAATATTAAGAGGTTTGTTTGGTGGAGGGGGCCCAAGGGACGAGGCCAAATGGCAGAGGGGTTGAGCCGCTCAAAGAAAAGAAAAGAAAAGGGTGTTCAAGGGTGGGGAAGGGGACGGGGAAGGAACGCATCACGTATTCACAAACGCACACCGGCTTGGGAGGCTCGGGACTGTGCATCTGACCGTCAGGTCCTAGGGTTCCAGTCACGACGGTGGTAGGATTTTCGACTCTTAACTAGATAGCTAGATAGAATTCAGCACTGCCTGGAGAATTATAGCGGCCGGCTGCTCTCATCGGTAGTTTGCCTTGATATCTCCGATCAATGCCAGGCGAATGCTGGAGAAGTACCCTAACAAACGATCAACGGATCGCGCGCGAGCTTTCCTTCCTCTTCCTTGTTCTATTCTCACCCCTTTGAAGCCTAGAGCTTGATCAGCTGGGAGGAGATATCTGAATGGAGAGATCACCTACAAGCCGACGTGTTAATCAGCCAGTGTGTTAATCAGCCGACGTGTTAATCAACCAGCCGACGTGTTAAGCGCCAGATCTCACCATCCAGCCGGGGGAGAACACCTCCGCATCGGTGATAAAACTTGCACCACACTTAAGGGATTACAGTTGACTCTCCCAGAAATATGAAATAGACAATCACAAAACACACTTGCAATCTCTCGCCTTCACTTCTCATCTTCGTCCCGTAACAATCTGCAGCAGTCAGGTTAGGACCGTCGAGTGTCCGCCTCGCAAAGTCACGGTTCGATGTTTTCCGGTCCACGTTTTGGATCAGATCTCGCACGCATCTCGGGCAACTAACTACTTGCTTACGGATCCTTCCACGACATTGTAAGGGAGCAAAAATACGTGTTGTTTGGAATGTAACTACTTGGCTGCCCGGGAGCGCCCGCGTCCTAGACACGGGTGCCAACGTTTCGGCCGCCATTCTAGGACAAAAGAGTAACTTTTCTTGTGTGGTTTAAGATCAAGAGCAAAGCCATTTCTCGATATATTCGTGCTTGTAACAAAGGTACGATAACCTCACTTTAAAAAGGGAGGCAACTCAAGACATGGTTCAAAACAATCTGAGGAAGTGCTCACGAGTAAATTCTCGGTTTTTTATTCATATGGATGGGAGCATATGCTGCACTGAGCTTAGGAAAGTGAGCACTGTCTCATGTTTGAGAAGTTACTATTTTTTACTTTTCCGGTATCTCTTTCGCCCTAGGCACCCGACGAAGTAGTTTCCATGCCGGCCCGGAGCGCCCGAAGGCGCTCGTCGATGTTTTCCGTCGTGTTCTACTACCTATCGGAGCTTTAGTAAACTATGTGATGCTACTTCGACAGTTGAACGTGAATCCATGGACTTTCTAGCAAGAATTATAACTATTAGACAAAAGAACTCGAACCGTCAATTTATACATCAGGCGTGTAAACAGCTGTCATGGCAGGGTTGAGAGATGACGAAATCGCAGAAGAATTATATGCTAGCGACTTTCGTGATACAGAGTCAATCAGTAGTGTTGACAATAATTTTCTATGTGAAACTGAAAGTGATGGAAGTGATAGTAGTGATAATAATAACAACAATGCAATTGGACCAGGTATACATGTTCACTGAACCTTGTAACTTTCTGGGAGATATTGGTCCAATTCTTAATTTGGAACCTGATTCTAATGAAAAATTATATTTTGAACACATGTTGGGTGGTAATTCTCTGTACCAGGATATAGCAAAGTGCACAAACATACATGCTACCTTCAAACAAGTAAGAGAGGCGAGGAATGGGAGGACACTACAGCTAAGGAAGTGAGGGCATATCTAGGTGTCCTGATTTATGTGAGATTGTTTCCACTACCAAAAACACGTCATTACTGTTTGAGCCCTGACATTGATTGCCCTGTAATCAGGAATACAACGACCTCCAAAAGGTACAAATTGTTAACAAAATATTTGCAAGTAACTGATGTGAAAGTGATCCTTCATTTTAAATGCTACAAAAAGTTAAACCATTACTTGAAAGTTTGACTAGTTTCCAAACACAATACAATCCAGGCGTAAGAATACCATTCAAAGGACTAAATATTATGAAACAATATATAAAACAAAAGCCAATGAAATGGGAAATGGTTTTGAAGGGAAATGTATATCGTAGGAAGAAAGAAAAGAGAAATAACAATATGTTATTATAATAGGGATATAATAAAGGGAATAAGAACGATTAAAAATAATGCATAAGTGGTATAAAAATAATAATGATAGAATTTAACTGGGATAGGATTAAAATTAAGTTTCTCAAGGTTTCTAAATTATCATTAACATGAACTCGATAAAAAATAAATTTAGTTTCCTTAAAATGTCTGAATAATATTTATAATGAAGCACAAATTAAACTCACTTCCTAAATTTCAACCAACATTGAAAAATGTCTTTGCTCTTCAGTTTTGAACCCTCTCATGGACATAATAAGATGGTAATTACATTTCTACATCTCTTACCCAAACTTGAAAATAATGGGAATATTTGGGAACTGCTTTATCTATAAAAGTCAATAAAACATAATATTTCATAATATTTAATATTATCACACATTCAAAAATGTGATTAGCTTGTTAAATTCCTCTTACAGAGCTTTTTTCTTTCCATGTTCATTTTTTGTGACATTCCTTAATTCCCTGCTCTTAATCGAAGGGTGGTATACACTTTTACAATTTCTTTTAGAAATTTTGTTTCGTGTAAATACATGCAATCAGTCACAGAATTAATTGAGAAATGTAAACTCTGAATTTATGAATGATCCATACATTTTTGGATCCTGGCGACCCATGCTAGTTCCACTTCAATAAATGCTATGCCACCCAAGTTGTCATAAGCTGAGAATGTGTTCTTGCTAGCATCCCAGATCATCTGCTTTCTTATTGACATACCATCAAATATAAGAGCACATTCCTTCAAATGTGATATCTTGTCACTGTTTTCATTTAAACATTTGAAAACTTCATCAATAAAACCTGTTTCACAATAATTTATTAAAAAGATATTCATGACTTTGGTATATTTGGATGAGGTAATGCAAATAATGATCAGACATTCTTATATGCATTAGGAGAATAAAAGTGCAAAGTAAGAACTGTTTCACAAGATCACTCTACCATATACCCCTTTTATCACATTTAGAATTTTGATACTGTCTTTTGATAAACTCAAACAGAAAACCACTAAAATTTCCTTCAAGAGCTGCTTCCACGTCAGAATTTAAATGTCCTGTCTTAATTATTTGATTAATTCTGCTATATTACTAATCTTCTTATTCCTGAGATTCAGTGTCATTTGCAGAAGCCTAATTATCTTCCTCCAGATGGCTTTGGTCAGTGACTGAGGAACGGTCTATCTGTGTCTCTTTACATTTATATTTTCTACGAGATTTGCACTGAGAATCGCTTCCACATCAGATTCGACTTCTTTGTCCTGTATCACATACAAAATCGTTAATTTAGTCAAATTATTCAATAATTGGTATCACAATGGTGGAAGACAAATTCTTACTTTCATACATTGTTGTTATTGTAGTGAGTTTTTGTTGGCATTTACAATTAAATAATTATATGAGTCAGTGCCAACAATATTGTTTGCAAACAACGTTTTGACAATGACGACTCATATAATTATTTCATTTCATACATTGATCATTGGAATAAAGATTATATGAAAAAATATACAATTCTTACAATTTGAAAGTTTCAATCACTTTAGAGGTCATCTTAGAGATGTTTCTTCCCCAAGATGAACCGGAAAATCGAATACAGAGAGAACTGTTTCTTATTTCAGTAAAATGACTTTCACTCCTGGTCTAACCTAGAAACGCAAGAAATTATAAACACGTATACAGATGAGATAAATTTACTTCACATGTACTGTTAGGAACAATTATCACCGTCAAATTAGTACTACAATTAATATTAACCTGATAGAAACCCTCAAGAAAATATTTGCTGCAGAGTGGTACTTATGGATAGTTTCCATTTCTCTCTTCAGACAGAATTCTTTGAATCCATATCTTCGAAACGTCTGGTCAAGAAAAAGGGAATCTACGTAAAGAAGATATTCAATAAATATTTATATATACAATTTATCGTTAAAAGGTTGTGATACAGCATCTCACAACAGTGTAATTTCAAAACCATTTTGAAAGAAAAGTCTCTTAGTTGTGAAACTGAATCGCACTTCATGTCTTCTGAAATTGTTTACAACCGCAAGCAACACATTTATCATTGTGTTTCTTGTTAAAGGTAAAATTAAACGAAATATTGCCACAACCTTTCCATGCCGCACAAAAACACGTACTATTTATTAATAGGCACATTGGAATACGCTCCAGGTTTGCCAACTCACCAGAATTAGACGTTACGGTCCCGAGCGATTTCCAGCATTGCAGTTGTGGATCCAGTTTAGATAGTTGAGATCACTGTCCATTGTGTGAGTGTACCATAAAGGAGAGATACAATATCTCTACTCTATGGAGTGTACGAGGTTTGGTGATCGTAAACTGTTTATTACGTCAGAAAAAGCCGTAAGACAGCGTTCTATTCGTTCGCGGTTGTCCCCCAACATCCAGTGAGACAATAGAAAGCCATCGTTCACGAAGTGAGAACCTGGAAATACCCGACAACTACATGTAATGGCCATCTTTGACTGTAGTGAGTGAAGCGATTAGTATTTTGGTTGAGATACGTTGTGAAGTGTGAGGCTTCTGCAATCAGGTTTACTTTTTTAATCTGTAAACTCTCTAAATTGTAATAAAATGAGTGCAACAGCCGCCGATGATACTGGTGGAAACCCTATTTATGGACCCTTTTTCGGAGTTATGGGAGTCGCTTCGTCAATTGTATTCACCGGTATGTATTTGAAAACTTCGTTTATTTCTGGACGGTCGATGTCAGTTTATTAGAAGAAAATGGATATCTTTGTGTAGACTTGTTCAAGGCCCGTTATTTAATCATACATTTCAAAAATCATGTCCGAATTAATGTGGCAGGAACAATAATGTACAGCGTTCCAACAAACGAATCGTATTTATGTTCGTTAAAGGCTTTCATCACAAGCGTAAATAACCAAATTGAAGCAAAATTGTACCAATGCGATGCTGAATAACTATGCGAAACCCTTTTCATTACAAAATGGTTTTGCCTGCGGATTTTTCTTTAAACATTTCTCACGTCTTGATTTTTTTCTTGCAATAAAGTAACATTTGAGTTTACGTAGTTGCCACATTTGAATTCTCAATTCTACTACACAGGAGTGTCCTGGGTGTAAAACTTCAATAATAAATCAGGTATTCAGTTTTTAAAAATACTTTGTACTTAAGTTTGTTTTAATTGTAGCGCTAGGAGCAGCGTATGGAACCGCTAAGTCTGGCACTGGCATCGCAGCTATGGCTGTGATGCGGCCGGAACTTATTATGAAATCCCTCATTCCTGTAATCATGGCGGGTATTGTTGCCATTTATGGTTTGGTCATATCTGTATTGTTAGCGGGCGCTCTTAAAGAACCATCTGACTATCCTTTGTATAAGTGAGTACAGATTCATATTTATATTTTTCACGTACGTAGTGTAAATCAAAAAGCGTAATGTTATTTATCTTAAATTTCAGGGGCTTCTATCATCTTGGTGCGGGGCTGTCGGTGGGTTTTAGTGGATTAGCATCTGGATTTGCTATAGGTATTGTTGGCGACGCTGGTGTTCGAGGGACTGCTCAGCAGCCACGCATGTTTGTAGGAATGATTTTGATCCTCATTTTTGCTGAAGTGTTAGGCCTTTATGGTCTCATCGTTTCAATTTTCTTGTATACTAAGTAACCAATCAAATCCTTAACATTCAAAAGACATGCATGCGCTTCTATTATCCATGAGTTTTAGTTATGTTATTGCGGAAAGTGAATACGAAAAAAACTATTTCTCGCTCGTAACTGACTTTCATAAGAAAATAACCTCATTTGTAAATTAATTACAGCTTTGTAAAATTGGCATTTCGTTTGAACACATTTGCAGCATAACGTTGAAGAAATTTGTATGTACCACAATGTGCACGAGTCCAACGTAAGAATTGTGGTGATTCAAAGGTTACCACGTGTGTAACAATAAATTAATGTATTGTGTGATGACATGGAAATCCTTTGTTTTCTTTCGGTGCTAAATTTGTTGATGTTCATGAAGATGAGGATAATTGGACGTGTAAGACAATGCGATGTATTTGAGCATCATTGACAACTGTTTCCAATTACACATTTTATTGCCAGGTGATTTTATTTTGAAGCAATTTACTAACGAAATTTTCTGTAAACATTGTGTCTCTTTTGCGAAACATTTCTATTAAAATATATACCACAACAGTGATTGAACAATCGGTATAAATAATGTTGCAACAGGTATTTTTGTTGAGTAGATACTTTAAATATTGCAGGGACTGTAAGTTTGAAAGTCATTTGGCTTTTTCTCCTGGTAGTGAAACTTTGGGTATAATTGCGTCTTGTCCTGCGCGGTAAAATTGCTTGATTAAAGAGAGAAATAAAAAAAGGTTTAGTTGAAAAAAAAGGCGTGTTTGAATCATTTCCATGTGAGACTGGAAAAGAGATACTGGGCTTAAACATTTTTAATTTCATTTGCTGTTTCTTCTAATCCGTCTAAAATATTTTTCGTAACTCACAGCCTCCATTGATATTAATAAATGAGGCTTAACAAATTTGTAGTATCAGAAAGACGTTGCTCACTGAATAGGTCAAAGAAACTAATTACATTCTTTAAAAATAATGATGAGTGTTCTACTGATAATATGACTGTTCTGCAATTACTGCTAAATGTATATTATGTGGGCAGAGTAAAGAATTTGTGTGTCGACGAACTGCCACCTGTTTTAAATGTTGAGATTGTGCAATATAGGTCGCCATCACATTCACTTTTACCTCTAGATGCTACTTAATGCATTATTGGTGTTTCAATTGGTTTGCATTTTTTCAGTTAACTTGATCCGTAAGATTGACTGAGAAAGGCAGAATACCGAGTATTTGGAATTTTTATAATTCCAGTCGGAGAATAGGATTCAATTTTTGGATTCTGTTACTACTGAATCCAAATAAGAGTAAATTAGCATTTGCCGTTTGTAAATTAGCAGTGGGGCATTTAAAAAAAATGAGAACCATGTATTATGTAAACCTTTTTGGTGGTAAATATTAAGCCCTTTTGGCTGTCTATATAACTTATATAGAGTAACTATATGTAACTTAAGGTCGTATAATTGGTTATAATGCAATAGTATTTTCATTTAAGACTAATTGTCGTGGAAAATTCAGAGTGAAAGAAAAACACATCCTGTAGCTTCCAGACTTTTAGATTACGAAAAAGAAGAATTACGAATAATAAGAAAATCCCAGCGACGTTCTTTCTTGTAAGCCTCTCTTTATTAATGTTGCATTTTTTCCATTTAGTTCAGTCATTATCTAGGTTCCTAAAAATAATTGTAGAGTAGTTTTTATATTTTAGTTCTTTATTATTTTGTGAGGCTGTTCACGAATGTCAAGTAGTAGAACATTTGGCGCGAAAATTAGTTTCAAGTAATATATTTATTTTTTTTTAATTCAAAACTTGAAATGAAAATAGATGTCTGTCATTGGATTCATTGTATAAGGTTTGCAGTGGATTCACGAAAATATCAGATATTCTTCGTAAGCAGTATGCGAGAAAGTAAAATAACTGAAAGTTAGTATATAATACGCTACTGCGTTGGCAAACAAATGCAAATAGATCTAAAGACATATAATAGTAATAATTAAACACTATGGTATTGCAAAATTATACAAATATCTAAAAGTATAAGTTTATATTACTGCGAACGAAAAGCTGCGGTCATTATCGCCTTCTATTATCAGTGCGACGTCTCTACAACGGGTAACGACATCCAACAATGACTGCTGATCTGTTCGTTTTCACATTTAACATAATTAAAGGCGGAGATTTGAATTGAAATAACATAAATATAATTAATATTAATAAAATGCAATGGAAAGTAATATAAGCATTCATACTTACATAGACATTTTATATACATTATTTTATATTTACATTCATACATATCAACTGCCGCAAAACACCTCTGAAATTACAATCACAATGCGATATAGTATTTCTGTTGTAGCACCTCAAGTTAGGTTGTTGTTTGCAATTTTCGAAAATATAGAGTGTACTGAAGATGGGACGAGCTCCAATTTCTTTCCCTTTCTTTGCTTCATTCGAGGAAAAAAATAAAGAAACTAGCGGTGCTACGACAGCACATACTTTCTCGCACCAAAGCGTTGAAAACATATGTAATATTGAAATATTACAATTTCTGACGTACTACTAGCACTTCAGCTATAACTTGAAAAAGTAATATTCAACAAAGTCAAACGAAGCACCTCTAGGGCACATGGTTTCTATATTATTTCAGTAGTATACATACTTTGTGCGGTTCTGACACGCAACTAATCTTGATAAAGGAGGACACTAAAGAAAAAAAAATTCGCAGAGACGTGAAAATTGCACTTGGACTTACAAATATAAAGGATTTGTTGAAAAAAATATATGCCGCTAGGTACTCGGTACTCGGCCGCATTGCAAAAAATCTAGTTAAATAATTCCTAAACGAAGCGTTCTAGGGCCCTAAAACCTGAAATATTAAGGCCAAAGGTCACAAAGATACGTGCTCATACCGTAATATGCAGATGTTATTCGACATTCTATTAATTTTTTGCTGAGCCGGAACTTATCGGTACTAAATGGCCTATGGCCCTCTTTGTGACGTCACGCTTAGAAGGCTTAGATTTATCCATCATTTCCCGCTTGCTGGGTACTCCGTGTTTTGCACCTACTAACTAGGTTCATTTGCATAATCATTAATTTAAGATTCGAGCTCGCAGAAACAACTGGAAGTATTAATTCTCGACACTTATGAACATGTTTTATTGCGTGTAGTGCAACCTTTCCTTTACCGTAATATATAGGTGTACTGTATACCACTAATTGTAAAAGGAAATACGATGAAAACGGACTACATGTTCCTGTGTTTCAATTTCACGCAACACACAAAGGTAAGTATTGACATTCTTGTTTCTGTGAACATTTTTTGACTTAACCGACATTAATCATGGTCTTGGTATGGAACCACACCACATACATCTACTAAACACAAAACGTTCATATTATTCTTGTTCAAAATCTGTTTGTTTTTATCGCGTACCCCTCAAATTTCAGTCAATATACATTCACGAAAACAAGGGTTCAAGAAGAAAAAATATTATTTTTGAAAACACGAATAAAAAAATGATAATTGTTGAAATCGTGGCGTTTTTATGAGAGTTTATGAAATTACTGAGTAGCAGTATTTTGAATAGACTTTCATTTTCCAAATTCTGTCATTAAAATTGCTTCACACTGTGACGGATATTCATTAAAAACTAGCACAACACCTATAACTTTGAAGTTATTTGGAACATTTTCAAAGCAATAAAATTGTTTGTCATGTCTTCATCTAGGCGCCCTCTCAACAATTTTTGCATTTTTCAGAAGGATGCAATCCCATAACGTTCTTTCATACAACACCGAAAACATACTTCTCGGTATTTATTTCTCCTACATCCAGGTTTAATTCCCCCCCCACATTTTTACGAAGGCTAGAGGCAAAGCAATATTTTTTCATTAAATGTGAGGCTGATATTTAGTTTTGAGGAGATCTGAACCTCAGATAAAGAAAACATCAAGCAACAACATGGATTATTTTTGAAATTCTTAACCAGTTCTTCACAGTGCAACGTCATAATTCAATGTACAATGTACAACTCCCTCTCCACTAATGCCTGGGCGTTTGTTTGTGGCGTCACATGTAGATGTGTAGTGAAGCGTCAAACTATTACTTGCACTACTTTTCTTGAACGATGGATGGAGGAAATGTGGATAGAGTGGAGGTATTAGTTAACAAAAACTGCCACTAGATTTTATGAAGCAATCATTTTATTAATTTTATGAATCTTTGGATAATCAGTCATATCTTTACAACTTTCTCAATAATTTGCGTTCGAACTTTCTAAGGAGTTCGAGGTATCTCCTGTGATGAATCTTCGCATTGTTCAGTCATTTCATTACATTTTTTGGGAGAAAATTACGGTCAGAAGTTTTCGTCTTCATGAGAAAATTGTTTCTATTTCGGGCAATGATGTGTTTGGAATGTTGTCATCAGTGCTCGCTGCGAGCTTTTTCCTTCAACTATTTATTGAAACGGAGATGGGGAAGCAATGTCATCGTTCAAGAAATGTGGCGCCGAACGCCTCTGCGACCTACTCGTGACAATTTTTGAATTTTCCATTGTCAAGATTAATAATTGTCGATATTAAAAGAAAATAATGATTAGTCTATTGAAATTGAAAAAGTAATCAGGAAGATGAACATGCGTCGTAACTTACGTAATTTTGATTCACCTAGTTTTTGGTAATAACTCGCACATAATTTTCTAATAAAAAGATAATTTTCAACTAACATATTGGGTGTTTTTCTTTCAACTAAAAGCTTCATTCATTGCAATGTAGAAACATGAGGGGAATGGGAATATGAAACATCTTAGTATGAAGTAAATTGTCATTTCGTTGAAAATGCAACTGATGAAAAAAGAGGCAATTCAAATATTATAAACAAATAAGAGCTTCAAAAACAGTGTCAGTTTGTAATTTTCAACGATTTTATTTATTCTGTCTATGAAAATGGTAACATAAATTCATTCTTGGTTGATCAGAAGTTTATGATTTATTTTTGATGAACAGATTTCATTAAGGGAAAAATACAGTGTCGGATTTTCAGAAGAGGCAAGAGAGGCCTAGCTTCCCCACAAAATTGATTAACAATACTGAAAGGTGTATATTTGTTTCACTTAAAAAATCTTTGAATTAACTTTCTAAAATTTACATAAATGTGTACGGCTTGCGACTAAATATTTAACAGAAGTCGTTTATCTTACTGCAAACAATATCGTTACAATTAAAGATGG